GCGAGCGGACTGTGACGAGACAGACGGAACACACGGAAGCTGGTGGCATGCAGATTTGGGGGAGAGTGTGTACACGGGAATCACACAGCCACGGGCACACACAGGCACACACATACATACACAGACACACACACAGACACACACACAGACACACACACAGACACACACACAGACACACACACAGACACACACACAGAAACAGGCACACAAATATAGCCTCAACAGACTGTTGGGGCAAGTGCTGTTCGCGAGCACCTATGAAGGCCAGAACGGCACACGAGGGGGTGGCCAGCACCACGCCCGGCCGCTTTTATCTCCCCAGTGACGATGTTTACACACCGCACCAAGTACTCATTTGAGGCCGAGTCGACCAAGGAGAGGCCCAGGACCGGTTCCGATAATCGTCACCGGTGTTGGCCGTGAGCGGGAATCGTACCCAGGTCGCCAGGTTCGTAGCGCAGCGCTAACCACTACACCACCGCTCCCCCACACACGCATGCATACACCCCATCACACACACACACTTGCACGCACACAACACACACACGGTGATAATCACTGACAAGGCAGCTTGGCAACATAAATTAAACAACAAAGACAACGACGAGTTTAGATATTTGGGGGGCGGTGGGGGGGGGGCAAAGTTAAGTGGCAGGGACCAGCAGGGGGCGGGGGGGGGGGTCCACCACGACTGTGAACTCTGGAGGAACCTTTGGGGGGTGGTCGTGGTTCTGGTGGTAGTGGGGGGGGGCGGGGGGTCGTGGTTCTGGTGGTAGTGGGGGGTCGTGGTTCTGGTGGTAGTGGGGGGGGGTCGTGGTTCTGGTGGTAGTGGGGGGGGGTCGTGGTTCTGGTGGTAGTGGGCGGGGGGGGTCGTGGTTCTGGTGGTAGTGGGGGGGGGGGGTCGTGGTAGGGGGTTAGAGCGGACTGCTCGCTCCGTCACCCCCTCTCCCCTTGATCGACCCCCGTCCGCCCCCCGCCTCCCCCACTCCAAACCACGTCCATGCAAATTAATAAGCGGGGGGTGCTGGGCAGGATTGGAGGGGGGGGGGGGATTGGTGGAAAGTGGGGGGGGGGGGGGGGGGGGGGAAATCAGATATCAGCCAAACTGGAATAACAGCGAGATCTGCACAGCGACATGCGCTTAAGAGGGCACACACCTGGGAACACACACCTGGGACACACCTCGGGACACACATCTGCGGACACACCTAGGGACACACCTAGGGACACACAACCTGGGGGCGTACACCTGAAGACACCTGGGGACACACACCTGAAGTCACCTGGATGCACACCTGGGCACACACCTGGGGGCGTACACCTGAAGACACCTGGGGACACACCTGGGCACACACTGCTATAATCGAGGCTGAAACTCGGAAGTACGGAACATTCTCTCCTCCTCCCCCCCGCCCCCCAGGGGGATGATTATCGCGCGCCACATCCTCCAATTTACGTTGTCCCAAAGCCGTGCAATATGGGATTGCTATAGGATACACAATTAATATAGGGCTGTTATGGATCGGAGTATCTTGTAGCAAATCAACCTCCTCGCCAGGCAGCCGGCCAGCCGACCTCGCTATCGGCATTCCAGATAATAGCGTGAAACGGGGAGCCCTGCTTATAACGCGGAACCGTATAGACTACACCTGCAGCTACCGTAGCATACACCTGGTCGTACCTGTAGCGCTACATTCCTTACCAGGAATTACAACCTGGCCATACCTCTGCACCTAACACCTGTAAAGCCCTACATCATGAGTCCAGACCGGTAATACACACGAGAGCACACCTGAAGCCTACACCTGTAATCCGTTAACCCAGACGTCACACCTGGCCACACCTGGTCACACCTGAAGCCTACACCTGTAACACCTGCAGGCCGCACCAGTAAACCGCACCTGGCCACATCCTGCGAGCCAGTGAAGGGGTTACAGGAGGGCGACGCCAGCCCTTTGCCCTGCTGCTGAGACTGCGAGACAAGGGTGGGTGGGGGTGCGTGCGTGCGAGGTAGGTGTGGGGGAGGGGTGGAGGGGCTGTGCCCCCCCCCCCAATCCGACCCCCTTCCCCCCCAGTAAGGGTCCTCGTGATGGTAAGTGTTAGAGGAGTGGGCGAGTGGGGGGTGGGTAGAAGGCAACACCCCCTCTCCTCGCCCCCGATTCAAACGCTGTAGGAGAGGGAGGGAGACAGAGACGAGGTGGCGTGAGACGGGGACATTGGCAGGACGGGAGATCTCGAGCGAGGCGATGAGGGTGGGAGGGGAGGGGGTTAGAACCTCAAGCCGCCAAGGATCCCGACACTGGGTCCGCCTCATTCCCGAGACGACAAAATCCTCCATCTCGCATCGCACGCGGCACCATCCCCACCCTCCCACCCCCAACCTCCCACCACCCCCACCCACTCACCCCACCCCCACCCACTCACCCCACCCCCACCCATCCACCCCACCCCCACCCATCCACCCCACCCCCACCCATCCTCCCACCCCCCACCCATCCTCCCACCCCCAACCCACCCTCCCACCCCCACCCACCCTCTCACCCCACCCACCCATCTCCCACCCCCACCCATCCTCCCACCCCCACCCATCCTCCCACCCCCACCCATCCTCCCACCCCACCCATCCTCCCACCCCCCACCCATCCTCCCACCCCCACCCATCCTCCCACCCCCACCCACCCTCCCAACCCCCACCCACCCTCCCACCCCCACCCACCCTCCCACCCCCAACCACCCTCCCACCCCCCACCCACTCACCCCACCCCCACCACTCACCCCACCCCCACCCATCCTCCCACCCCCACCCATCCTCCCACCCCCACCCACCCTCCCACCCCCACCCACTCACCCCACCCCCACCCACCCTCCCACCCCCACCCACCCTCCCACCCCACCCACCCTCCCACCCCCACCCACCCTCCCACCCCCACCCACCCTCCCACCCCCACCCACCCTCCCACCACGTACATCTCCGTGCCGTCGTCAGCACAGACTCGCATTGGCTCGCTCATGGACGGGTATTGCCCATAGACTAGCATTGCCTGGAGACTAGCATTGTCCATAGACTAGCATTGCCTGGAGACTAGCATTGTCCATAGACTAGCATTGCCTGGAGACTAGCATTGCCCGTAACTCGTGTCTGCTTGCCAGTGAGCGCGAGTCACCTGCTACGTCCGTTTGACGTTTCCAAAACGTTGAGAACTCTGCCACTGCGCTCCGATGGACCGCTCTCGACATCGCGTGGCCGAACGACCCACCCACCCAGCCCACGCGTGCGACGGGACTTTCAATTCGCTTCATCGCAGTTGCCGCATTTCATTTGTTCTGCCCCCTGACAATTTGGTGATCTTGGTGACAACTCTTGAGGAATGAGAACCTCCACCAATCCTTACCCCGGGGTCTCTCTCTCGAGTAGTCCTTCTCAGCCAGGTAAGTCAACTTGAAACGGACTCCGTGACACGCGCGAAACATTAAGTACAAATCGCGCCACACGCGCACACGATGATTGCTGAACGCGTCCCCCGTCAAGGGAGCTATAAACCCATCTCCCCTCATCCTCGCCGCAGCAGCAGCGGCGGCTTTTAGCTCGGCCTATCGAAAACAAAGCGGATCGCCGTATCGCGCGGCGCTATATACACACTACACCCGCTACCCTACACTACACACTACACTTTTGGATAACCACTGAAACAAAGACGGCCACCGCTTCGCGCGGCGCTTTCAGACGCGCGCTTCTGCGACCGTCTGGAACGGATTTGCACGTCGGTGGGGGGCAATGGCGCACGCATCGTGATGCACCACCCCGACAACAACCACCACAACCACCACCACCCACCACCCACCACCGCCACCGCGTCGCCTCTGTCCACCCAGCCGCGTGAACAACGAGGGATTGACCACAATCGGTCGGGCGGCACGTCACGTGCGGCGGCGGGTGAGGCGGCCGTGACGTCACCGCGGTTGTTGTGACGTCACCGCCACTTCGTGGCTAATGGCGGCTGCTGTTGTCGTCGTTGCCCCAACGAGTCGGTGAAGGCTACACGGGGGAGCTGCTTTGTCTCTGGTGGGGGTAACGCGCGGGTTTACAACCAGAACGAAAATCGCTCCACTGGACGGGGCCTACCAGAGGCCTCTCTTAGGGGGGGGAGGGGGGGAGGGGTATATACTTTGGCCTCCTCTTCCACGGCGTCACGTTTCACAAACCAGAAGTGAAACCAACGTTTGGGCCAACGTTGGGTCAATGTTATAATTCGGTTGGAAACGCACACGCATGTTTACAAACGTGCGCGCGCCTGTAGCACGCGCCGGTACGTATGTTTCTTTTTTACTTTGGGAACCACGTGGCGGGCGTCGGGGTGACGGTGGCTCGGCCTCTCAGACTCCTCAGGTTGTGTGGAGCGTTCAAATCCAGAAAACCCATCGTGACTCGGTGGTCGATACACTCGGTACCGCTTTGTGAGAACGTGGATCTAGAATCTCGCTTCTAAGCGACGGGCAATCTGCTCGCTAACAAACTGCACCGCGCACCCAACCACCTGTATGCACCACACAAACTCCGTGGTATATGCACCACTCCCAACCACTCGCAGTCAAAACACAGGCGCACACACGCAGACAGGCACACAACATACGCACAGACCAAGTACACGCACACACACACCCGACATGCATGATTCCCATCACACGCACGCACACACACGTGTGCGTGTCCCGTGCGTGTCCTGCGCATGTGCGTGCGTGTGTGTGTGTGTCCGTGCGTGTCTGTGCCCATGCCCACTCGTGTGTGTCCGTGCCTGCGCGTGTGTCCGTGCCTGTGCGTGTGTCCGTGCGTGCCCCTACACAACGGTGTGCTGCGCGCTGCAGGAGGCGTTGCTGGGGCGGTGCCCCCCCCGCTCGTCGACCCCCACCCCCCCTTCCGCCGGCTCGAGCCCCCCCCCGGCCCTCCCCCCGGCGGGGCTCTCCGCCCGCTCGCGCCCGGCCCCCACGCTGCTGCCGTTGTGCTGCTGGTTGCTGGCCCTCTCCACTCCCTCCCGCGACGAGTCCCCCAGTTCCCGCTGGGACGATTCGAGCGGGTCGCCACCTCCGCCTCCTCCTCCTCCACCTCCTCCTCCTCCTCCACCTCGCCTCTCGCGTCCTCCGTCCTTGTTCTGGCCCAGGTTCCCCAGGAGCTGCATCTTCTCCTGCTCCTCCTTGAGGAAGGTGGCGACGATGAGCGTCCGCTCCTTCTTCAGGCAGTCCGCGATGTCCTTGGGGATGTCGGGGATGAGCCAGTCGAGGACGTTGCTCAGGAACATGACGAGGTTCTGTGGGAGACGGGGGTAGAGGGTGGAGGGTGGTCACGGCAGGATTGGGGTGAAGGTGATGCTAGGCAGCTAGAGGGCACCCCCCCCAAGGCGAGATGTGAATGTTACGGGCAAGTGGGTCACAGATGAATTGAGTGAACGAGCGAAGCGGGTGAGTGAGTGAGTGGACGAGCGAGCAGGGACGTGAGCAGGTGAGTGAGCGGGCGAGCGGGTGAGTGAATGAGCGAGCGGTGTGAGTGAGCGGTGTGAGGTGGACGAGCGATGTGAATGAGCGAGCGGTGTGAATGAGCAGGCGAGCGGTTCGAGCGGGTGGGTGAATGAGCGGGTGAGTGAGTGAGCGGGTGAGTAGGTAAGTGGGCGAGCGGGTGAGTGAATGAGTGAGCGGGTGAATGAGTGAGTGGGCAAGCGAGTGAATGAGCGAGCGGGTGAATGAGCGGGGTGAGTGAGTGAGTGTGGGCGAGCGATGTGAATGAGCGAAGCGGGTGAATGAGCGAGCGGGGTGAGTGAGCGGGTGAGTGGGTGAGTGGGCGAGCGAGTGAATGAGCGAGCGGGTGAATGAGCAGGCGAGCGAATGTGCTGCGATGTGAGCGGTTGAGCGAGCAAGCAAGCGTGTGGTGAGCGTGCGGTGAGGGAGCGGCGAGGGTGCGATGAGGGTGCGGTGAGGGTGTGGTGAGGGTGCTATGGTGCGGGGAAGCTGCTCGCCTGGAAGATGATGACAAAGGCGAGGCGGGCGGCCATGACGGCCCAGTACTGCTTGTTTGTGTCGTACGCTCGCTCCGAGCCCGGCGGGTCACGGTAGTCCTTGTACCTGCACCGCCCCCGCCGGCAGCCACCACCACCACCACAATCGCCACCACAACACCGCAAGTTAGTACTGCGGTCGGGATGCACACGGAGCCGTGTCTGAGCAGCGGCGTCACACGCGGGGAGACGCAGAGGCGACGTTGGCGACTTGCCCGCCCACCCGCTCGCCCGCCCGCTCGCCCACTTGCCTGTCCACCAACTTACTCAAACCAACCCACCCACCCGCTCGCCCACTCGCCCACCCACCCACTTGCCTGTCCACCAACTTACTCAAACCAACCCACCCACTTGCCCGCCCGCCCACCCCACCCACTCACCCACCAACTTACTCAAACCAACTCGCCCAATAACCAACCCACCCACCCCATCACCAACCCATTCAACGACAACATAACGTAGAAAATATGGCTTCCCCCTCCATCGCTACCCTCTCAACTCGACGACGAGGGCCCAACGACGATAACCCGACAATGACAACACGACAGACGACGACGACGACGAGCGGCCGACCTGCAGGAGAGGACCTGCGCGTCGCTCCCCGTGCCCACGTCGCCGGCCGGCCCGGTGCCCTCGGCGAAGTCGCTGACGTTGAAGTGCGACAGCGTGTGGTCCACGAAGCCCCGCATGGAGCCGTCCGCGCTGTACATGTACAGGTAGACGAGCCGCGGGATGAAGTCCGACGTGGTCGAGATCACAAACGCCTGGGGGGGGGGGGCGGGGGGGTGAGAGGTCACACGGTGGACGATTGTTGGGTCACGGCGAGGGGTTACGGACGGAGGGAGGGAGGAGAGCGACCGAGCGGTGGTGCAGCGGTGAGCGCGCCGAGCCACGAACCCGGCGACCCGAGTTCGATTCCCGCTCACGGCCACCAACGCCGGTGACGGTTATCTGAACCGGTGCTGGGCCTCCCCTAGGTCGACTCAGCCTCAAATTAATACCTGGTGCGGTGTGAAAACATCGCCACTGGGGAGACAAAGGCGGCCGGGCGTGGTGCTGGCCACCCACCCCCTTTTGCGAGTTCCCAGCCTTGCTAGGCGCTGCTTGCTAACAGAACTTGCCCCGACAGTCTGATGAGAGGCTACACGGGGGATCTTTGGCTGACGGGGAGAGTGGGTGATGGACGGACATAGTGTGCGTTTGAAGGGGGATGAAAGTGGATGACATGGGATGTGTTGGCTGGAGTGAGGGGAGGGGAGGGAGTGAGGGGAGGGAGTGAGGGGAGGGGAGGGAATGAGGGGAGGGGAGGGAGGGAGCGAGGGGAGGGAGGGAGCGAGGGGAGGGGGGGAGGGGAGGGGAGGGGAGGGGGAGGGGAGGGGAGGGGGGGAGGGGAGGGAGTGAGGGGGGGAGGGGAGGGGAGGGGAGGGTGGGAGGGGAGGGGAGGGTGGGAGGGGAGGGGAGGGGGGGAGGGGAGGGAGTGAGAGGAGGGAATGAGGGGAGGGAGTGAGGGGAGTGAGGGGAAGGGAGGGAGCGAGTGGAGGGGAGGGAGTGAGGGGAGTGAGGGGAGTGAGGGGAGTGAGGGGAGTGAGGGGAGTGAGGGGAGTGAGGGGAGTGAGGGGAGTGAGGGGAGTGAGGGGAGGGGAGGGAGGGAGCGAGTGGAGGGGAGTGAGGGGAGTGAGTGAGGGGAGTGGAGGGGAGTGAGTGGAGTGAGGGGAGGGGAGGGGGGGAGGGGAGGGGAGGGGGGGGGAGGGGAGTGAGGGGAGTGAGGGGAGTGAGGGGAGTGAGGGGAGTGAGGGGAGGGGAGGGAGCGAGTGGAGGGGAGTGAGGGGAGTGAGTGAGGGGAGTGGAGGGGAGTGAGTGGAGTGAGGGGAGGGGAGGGGGGGGAGGGGAGGGGAGGGGGGGAGGGGAGTGAGGGGAGTGAGGGGAGTGAGGGGAGTGAGGGGAGGGGAGGGAGCGAGTGGAGGGGAGTGAGGGGGAGTGAGTGAGGGGAGTGGAGGGGAGTGAGTGGAGTGAGGGGAGGGGGGAGGGGAGGGGAGGGGGGGAGGGGAGGGAGTGAGGGGAGTGAGGGGAGTGAGGGGAGTGAGGGGAGTGAGGGGAGTGAGCGAGTGGAGGGGAGTGAGGGGAGTGAGTGAGGGGAGTGGAGGGGAGTGAGTGGAGTGAGGGGAGGGGAAGGGGGGAGGGGAGGGGAAGGGGGGAGGGGAGGGAGTGAGGGGAGGGGATTGAGGGAAGGGGAGGGGAGTGAGTGAGGGGAGTGAGTGAGGGGAGTGAGTGAGGGGAGTGAGTGAGGGGAGTGGAGGGAGCGAGGGAACGGGAGGAAGGAAGAGCGAGGGCGTAGTGGGGGATGGAATCCCCGACTCACGTTTGTGATGACGCTGAGTTTCCCGATGCCGGACAGGATGTTGAACCAGATTCCTGGGGGAGCCACGGAGCAGAGGGGGGGGGGGAGATCAGGTGGAGGGAGGGGCTGGGGGGGGCAAGCCATCGCGCGCCAGCTCGGTGCAGGCCACACAAAACCACGACGATGACGTCGTCTATTTAAGGCGCGCGGCTCTCACAAACCCATCTGTGTTGTGTGCCCTCCTCCACCCGGCAGTGTCCATTGGCGAGCCCCGTCACGTGAGCCTAAAAGCGCCGCCATCAGCAGCAGACCGCGGCGCCAACGGTTCGGTCGGGTGCCGCCAAGACGGCAAACCCGCAACGTTTACACAGAATGCGTCAAATCGTCCCAAACGCTCCTTGTCACACGCGGCTTGCCAACATCTTAATACGGAGAGGACCCGCAGAGCTTGGGCGGGGGGGGGGGCTCCCTCACCGCCGCCATCGGCTGCCTTCCGGCTCTGTGCGTGTGCTGCGAGAGACGCTACTCGAACGAACCACGTGAATGTATTATACTAAACATAGTTGTTGTTTGTATTTTCATTTGTTGCGCGTGATTGTATATCTGGCATCGACCCGTCTCCGCGCCAACGCCGCCCACCGCACACTCGGGTCATCCTCGCCGTGGCAGCGGCTCCTGGCTGCCCATGGAACAAGAAACGCGTTCTGCATCGTGCGCTTTCAGATGCGATATACACCACACTATTTACTACACTAAACATTACTCTACACACTACACTTTTGGCTGGCCATCAAACTAATAAGGCCACCGCATCGCCCGGCGCTTTCGGGTGCGCTTCTGCGGCCGTCTGGAACGCTCTTCCTTCCGATATTAAGGAAGCCACTTGGAGCTGTGCACTAATAAATCATCATCGACATTGACAAACTCGTTCCTTCAAAATCGATTTTTGTGTTTAGTTTGTTGTCCTTCCCCGCGCCATCGCTTGGCGCGGTTGACTACCTACGGTGCGAAAGAAGTTCAACGTACACACATCATCCTCATTGCGCCGGGGTGACACGTGTTAGAGCTGGCTGCGTTTTGCTGATCGTGCCACTGGGTGGCGGGGCTGTGTCACGTTTACAGTGATGGAACGACATGAGCCAATGGTCAAGTTGACTCGGTGTGTGACGAGGTGGAAACTCTGGAGACCGGGATCGAGAGGTTACGTTTGCAAGAGCGATTTAATGAGTGGACGAGTGAGTGTACAAGTGGGTGGGTGGGTGGGTATGCGGGTGAATGAATGAGTGGGTGATGAAGATCGTGAGTGAGCGAATGAACGAGTGAGTGAGTGAATGAGTAAGTGGGTGAGTGAGATCGTGAGTGAGTGAATGAGTGAGTGAAATCGTGAGCGAGTGAGTAGGTGAGCGAGTGGGTGAGCGAAATCGCGAGTGAATGAGCGAGTGGGTGAGTGGGTGAGTGAGTTCCAGTTTCAAGTGGATGTTGTGTAAACAGTAAAACACTCGAAGAGAGACCGGGAGAATAGGCGTCAGTCTGGGGATCGCTGCTCTGTGCGTGCGATCCCCACACTGTGGCTGTTTGCGGTTATTGTTGCCCTTGTTGTTATTGAGATTATTGCGGATGTGATTGTAGTGGTGGTTGCGGTGGTTGTTGCGGTGGTGGTTGTTGCGGTGGTGGTTGTTGCGGTGGTGATTGTTGCGGTGGTGGTTGTTGCGGTGGTGGTTGTTGCGGTGGTGGTGGTGGTTGTTGCGGTGGTGGTGGTGGTGCGGTGGTGGTGGTGGTGGTTGCGGTGGTGGTGGTGGTTGCGGTGGTGGTGGTGGTTGCGGTGGTGGTGGTTGCGGTGGCGGTGGTGGTGGTTGCGGTGGCGGTGGTGGTGGTTGCAGTGGTGGTGGTTGCGGTGGTGGTGGTGGTGGTGGTGGTTGCGGTGGTGGTGGTTGTTGCGGTGGTGGTGGTTGTTGCGGTGGTGGTTGTTGCTGTGGTTGCGGGCCCCCACCGATGTCCTTGGCGCGCACGGCCGTGGGCCTCCGCAGCTCGGAGACGAACTTCTTGGCGTCGAGGCGGATCTCGATGACGTTGTTGAGCAGCGCGAAGAGCGGCGCCAGTGGGAAGGACGCCACGAACAGCGTCACGAAGCCAAATTGGATGACTGGGGGGGGGGGGGGGGAGAGGAGTAGACGACCAACGTCATCAGCAGCAGCAGTAGCAGCAGCAGCAGCAGCAGCAGCAGCAGCAGCAGCAGCAGCAGCAGCAGCAGCAGCAGCAGCAGCAGTCGTCGTCGTCGTCTTGAAGATCCCCACGGTGATCTCGGCACCGTTAACGACACTGCACCACCGCCAACACCGTCACTGACGGAGCAGCAGCAGCACGTGGGGGGACTGGTGCGGCCGGACAAGCGGGGTCTGTGTGGCCACAGAATGTGCACGGGGGGGGGGGGGGGTGGGGGTCGCGGTGGGGTGCCCGGGGTCGCGAGGTCGCTGTGGCCGTGACGAACGAGCGGCTGGGCCGCGTGCGTGCGCGTGAGCGGCGTGTCCGGCACGTACTCATCTCCATGTACTCCGGGGTGAGGCCGGCGTAGGGGTCGAGCTCGTGGTCCAGGTCCCAGCGGCGCTTGGGGAGCCCCTCGGGGTCCCCGCCGCCGCCGTCGCCGCCGCCGTGGTGGTGGTGGTGCAGGTGGAGCACCTCCTTCTTGCGCAAGCTCCGCAGCAGCTTTTTCATCCTCCTGCATCGTCAGCATCCGCATCATTGTGATGACCGTTGCAATAATCGTCGTCGTCGTCATCATTGTCATCATTATCGTCATCGTTGGCATTATTGATATTATGATGACCGTTGCAATAATCGTCGTCGTCGTCGTCATTGTCGTCATTGTCGTCATCGTTGACATTATGATGACCGTTTCAATAATCGTCATCGTCTTCAACATCTCCACAATCATCTCTACATTAACATCGTCTTCGGCATCATCGGCTGATGACGATGTTAATGATTGTTGCTATAATCATCATGATATCATTAACATAAATCTCGTCATCATCATCATCATCTTCATTATAGTAATCATCATATTCATCTTCATCATTATAATCATCATCTTTATTATAGTAATCATCATATTCATCTCCGTCATCATCGATGTGGCTGTGGTGGTGGTGGTGGTGGACTCACGGGATGCCGATCTCAAAGAGGTTGTTCTGGATGAGCTGCTTGCCGAGCATGATGATGCTCAGCTGGATGCAGAGCTCCATGAGACAGCCACCCGGGGCACACTGACACGTGGGGAGACACGTGGTGAGACACGTGGTGAGACACGCGGGGGGACACGCGGGGGGACACGCGGGGGGACACGCGGGGGGACACGCGGGGAGACACGCGGGGAGACACGCGGGGAGACACGCGGGGAGACACGCGGGGAGACACGCGGGGAGACACGCGGGGAGACACGCGGGGAGACACGGTGAGACACGCGGGGAGACACAAGGAGGACACAAAGAGGAGAAAACGGAGACAAGGATGCAGCCACGGAGAGACACGGAAACGCTGGGACGCGGTGTGAAGTCGGACATGGGGGAGGATGCGAGAGAGGGCGGTGACGGTGTCAAAGATGATGAGGAGGTGCTCACCTCCTCCATGCGATGACCGGGGAAGACGTACACGTAGCTTCCTGGTCTCCCCACAAACCTGCACGTGCACACAAAGATAAAGGCCCCCCATGTAGCCCACGCACACTGCCGGGGCAAGTTCTGTCAGCGAGTGGCACCTACGCCTCTGTCTCCCCAGCTGCTCGCTCACGGCCGGAGAGTCACCGCTGGCGTTAGCCGTGGCTGAGATTCGAACTCGGACCAATGGGGTTCGTAGCTTGGTGCGCGAGACGGCGTGGAAGAGTAGGCCAAGCGTGTACCCCTGTAGGAGCGGGGGGGGGGGGATCTCCGGAGCTGTCTATGAGAGTGAGCAGACATCGCGTGACGATTTGGCTTTCGCGGGTTTAACGACGCATTCATATTTTCGCGATCCAACCCAACAAAAACCTCTGTTATGGACTGTGTTACGAGTTGACATTATCATTATTTCTATGGGACCGTTTTCCCAGTATCAAAGATGATGAGAACTAAGTAGAGGTTTTACCCCTCTCTGTCAATGTGACACGTGTCCACGTGTCCAGCCAGCACGTTTCGCCACACGCACGCGGGGCTACTGCAGAGTCCATGCCTTGCAAAAGGTCCCCTCTGTGGCGTTTGACTGTCTTGACACCTCCTGCTGTATTGCCAGGAACCCGATTCTTACTCATCATCATCATTATAATTATTATAATAATTATAATTATTATTCTGCATGCTCCCTTCCGAGGCTACGTGAGTCGTTGTTGACGGTGGCGTTGGGAGGGAGAGGAGTGAGGGTGGGGGAGGGAGGGAGGGAGGGGAGGGTGGAGGAGGGATGGAGAGGGGGAGGGTGGAGGAGGAGGGATGGAGAGGTGGGAGAGGGGGAGGGAGGAATGGGAGGGATGGGAGGGAGGGAGGGGGAGGGATGGGAGGGAGGGAGGGGGAGGAAGGGAAGGAGGGAGGGAGGGAGGGGGAGGGGAGGGAGAGGTGGGTGAGGGAGGGAGGGAGGGAGGGGAGGGTGGGGGAGGGATGGAGGGAGGGAGGGAGCAGCGTGGCTCACCGCCCCTTGAAGAAGGCCACGTAGAAGATGGTGGTGTACGAGTTGACGAACTTGAGCAGAAACGATTTGAAGATCAATCGCTCCTCAAACTCCTTGTCAGTCTTGGGCACCTCTGTGTGTGCACGTTATTGAGTGTGTGGATGCGTGGGTATTAATTTGCGTGTGTGTGTGGTGCGTGTGTGTGTGAGAGAGTGTGCGTGCATGTGTGCGTGTGTGAGCGTGTGTGTGAGCGTGTGTGTGAGCGTGTGTGTGAGCGTGCGTGTGAGCATGCGTGTGAGCATGCGTGTGAGCGTGTGTGTGTGCGTGTGTGTGTGCGTGTGGGTGTGCATGCGTGTGCGAATGTACAGGCAGAGATCACAACCGAGAACTAAATGAGGGAATGAGCAATGTACTGGTGCCAGGCTAGGTACACACAAAGACAAAGCCCCCCCCCCCCCACACACACGCGCGCGCACACGCCGGGGTGCCAGGCTAGGTGCACCGTACCCACCGATCTGCGTGAGCCAGCGCGCCACGGAGCCGTAGATCTCGTCCAGGATGAGGATGATGATGAGGTTGATGACGACGGCGGTGGAGGTGACGATGACGCGGTTGTTGGAGCGCTGGTACGCGTTCGTGCTCACCGCCAGCGCCGCCGACACCGAGATGCGGTACACGATGAGCGCAAACACGATCGCAAACGTCAGCCCGATCTGCAAACGCGCGACCACACGCGTGTTAGAAGCGTGTTACATACACGTGTCAAACGCGTGTTACATGTGTGTGACATACACGTGTTACACGCGTGCGTGATATACACGTGTCAAACGCGTGTTACATGTGTGTGACACACACGTGTGTTACATGACATCGGCCCGATCTGCAAAGCGCAAGGTATGAGTGGGTATGTGTGTGTGTGTATGGGTATGTGTGTGTGTGTATGGGTGTGTGTGTGTGTATGGGTATGTGTGTGTGTATGGGTATGTGTGTGTGTATGGGTATGTGTGTGTGTATGGGTATGTGTGTGTGTATGGGTATGTGTGTGTGTATGGGTATGTGTGTGTGTATGGGTATGTGTGTGTGTGTGTATGGATATGTGTGTGTGTATGGGTATGTGTGTGTGTGCGTATGGATATGTGTGTGTGTATGGGTATGTGTGTGTGTGTATGGATATGTGTGTGTGTATGGGTATGTGTGTGTGTATGGGTATGTGTGTGTGTGTGTATGGGTGTGTGTATGTGTGTGGGTACAAGTAGGCGGGTACCATGAAGAGGATAGAGGAGAAGTTGATGGCGTAGCTGGGAAGTCGATCTCTCCACGTCAGCTTCAGCTCCTCGTCCTGTCCACACACGCGCAGACACACGCGCACGCGGGCAAGCAGACGCATGCACGCACACGCGCAAACATGCAGACACACACAGACATGCACAGACACGCAGACACGCACACGCGCAGATACGCAGACACGCAGACACGCACAGACACGCAGACTCGCAGACACGCACACGCGCAGACACGTACAGACACGCAGACACGCACAGACATGCAGACACGGAGACATGCACACGCGCAGACACGCAGACACACACACGCAGACACACACACACACGGGCACGCTATTGAGGCTCGCGATCATCGGCCGCGAGCAGTGCCGGTTAGCGCTGCGGCAGCGCCTGTGGTGGCTGCCAGGGGTCACGGGGGTCACGGGGTCGTCAAGGGGGTCACCACGGGGTCGTCACGGGGGTCACCACGGGGTCGTCACGGGGGTCACCACGGGGTCGTGATATGCAACAGCAAAACACGCGAGCGGAACGGCTGCGATGTGGACGCTTGCAACTAAAAAAGACAAAGCTGCAGCGCTGCAATTGCTGGCTCCACGCCGCCACAGATGGCGGATGGGGCCGTGGGAGGAGGGGAAGGGTTAATTGGTCTACTCTTCCACACGAGACTCATCCCCTGGTCTCTAAAGTTAAATGTAAAACACATTGACGTCACCCCCACACTTTACCCCACGTGACCTGCCAATCATCGCCCGACCCGTGGTGGAGCCAATCACACTGCTACTGGGTGGGTGGGCGGGGGCAGGGTGGGGGGGGGGGGTGAAATTTTAGAATCCCCCCCAATGTTTAAACTGCCGCGCCTGGAGATTGAATCGGATGGCGGTGGGGGGGGGGGGTCCTCTGGGCTCCAGAGGGCCGACCTCTTGACCTGTTGACCTCTTGGTCACGTGACGACGCTCGCGGCACACACGGCCACACGGGCGATCGCCCGCCCCTCCCCTCGTCTGAATGAGGTGCAACTCAAATGCGAACGTGATGCAAAGTATGTTACGCAAATCATACGCAAATGATACGTCAGCAGTGTCACATTCAGGCGGACGGAGCGAACTGAACGACACAAACAAACGATGCAGCGGAACAACACCAAGGAGGGAAGGGGAGGGAGCGCGGAGGCGCGCAGGGGACGGTGTGGACACGGCAGCCGCCGTCATGCACGGACGGAGAGCTCCACCTCGTCGCCATCATCGTCATCGTCGTCATGACAATGGTGATTACGGCGCTGATTACGGTACCGGACGGTCAAGTTGATGATGAACGTTACGACTGTTAATGACGAAAGTGGCAACGATGACTCCAATGGTGATGATGACGATGATGAAGATATTGGCAAGGATGATGATGATGCCATTGACACCGACAAGAACTACGGCAGCGATGATGAGGACGATGAAAGCGATGACAATGATGATGACGACGAGAATTATGACGATGATGACGATGATTACGACGATGATGGCAATGACAATGAGGATGACGACGATGATGATGACGATGATGACGACGATGATCATGGTGATGATGATGATGACGATGGTGATCATGGTGATGACGATGATCATGGTGATGACGATGATGACGATGGTGATCATGGTGATGACGATGATCATGGTGATGACGATGATGACGGTGATGATGGTGATCATGATGATGACGACGATGACGGTGATGATCATGCTGACAATGGTAAGTGGTAACGATTAACTACGGTGAAGATCACTCAACTTTGAGCTACGCAGCTCTCTTTTTCAGAAGCGACCTGGCCACAGATGATAGCTCAACGGAGCGGCTGATCATCATCATCACCATCAAATTCTCTAAACGCGCGGCGATGTTGATGATGAATGGAAGGAAAAAAACCGAGAGACGACCCGGAGACAAATGCACGCGGTGACCACGGGGAGAGAGGAAGAAACGCAAACTCCAAGTATACAGCAGCAGCACGCGTCGTCAGGGTCGGGATGGAAGCCACGACCTCCCGCATACCAGGCGAGGGAGTTAACATCTCCTAGCCACCGCGGTTATCACAATGAACTATGACGATGATGAAGATGATGACGAAGCCAACGACGACGGCGATGACAAATGGCATCGACGCCGCCGACGACGAAGAGGAGGAGGAGGAAGCAGTCAAAACAGAAGGCACTGGGCACGGCGGGGAAGGAAGCGATGGCTGCTGTGGGTACGGGCACGGACACGAGCAAGTACCAGGATTCCCCCGGCCAGGGCCGACTGCACCCTGGCCTTCCACAGATTAGCCACGTCGCTCGGCTGATCCAGGGCCCTCTGGGAGCACGGGAGGGGGGATAGGGGCAAGCGTGCAAGTCGGACCACACACAGACAAAGACAAAGATCCCCCGCGTAGCCTCCACAGACTGTAGGGGGGAGGGCGCTGCGAGAGAGTAGCGCCTAGGGACAGGGCGGCACGGCGCACGACGGGGGTGGTGTGTGGCCAACACCACACGCACACACAGAGACACACACAGGCAAGCACACACAGGCACACACACACACAGAGACACACACACAGGCAGGCACACACAGGCACACACACACACAGAGACACACACAGAGACACACACAGGCAGGCACACGCAGGCACACACACACAGAGACACACACACAGGCAGGCACACACACACAGAGACACACACACACAGGCGCGCACACAGATACACAGAGACACAGGCGTGCACACACAGGCGCGCACACACAGGCACACGCACACACAGGCACACACACGCACGAATGCACACACACACGCAGTTCTCCCGCCGCGATGTACGAGGCATTGCAAGGGGGGGTAGTCCTAGAGGTTCATCATCGCGGATCTCTCTCACTGATGTCATCTCTCCTTTACCTTACCCTCTACAAGGCCCATTTGCCTAAAACGTCAGACCACTTTCATACAAGCCGCAACCAGTGTCATTGTGCCATCATGTTGTTGGTGGTGGTGGTGGTGATGGTGGTGGAAGGGGTGGTGATGGTGGTGGTGATGGTGGTGATGGTGGTGATAGTGGTGGTGGTGGTGGTAGTGATAGTGGTGGTGTTGATAGTGGTGGTGGTCGGGATGGTGATAGTGGTGGTGGTCATGGTGGTGATGGTAGGGGTGGTGATAGTGGTGATGGTGGTGGTGGTGTACAAAGCTGCTGCTGCTGCTGTGGTCTAGCACTGCTGTGGAGGCAGCAGCAGCAGCAGCACCGAGGGTTGGTGGACCACTCGCAGATGGGCTGTGGAACTCCCTTCTCCCCAACCCGTGGGTGGGCGTCGATGAGGAGCCGTACTCCCTGGCTCTTCCAGGAAGAAGGCGGTACCAGCAAAGTGTGTGGACTAATCTCCATCCGTCACAAACGCGGGTTTTCTCCGGCTTTCTCCCCGCACGTATTACACCACTCATGAATTGGCTGAAAACACTGCTCACTATATTGAGAGAGGATCGCAGAGCTCGGGCAATTGTTGGTCACGCCGGCCTAGCTGCTGCCGCCACTGCTTTACTTTTATTTATTTTTACTTGCCAGGTAAGGCCCCACTGAACTGTGGAGCTCGCTTTTCAAAAGCGGCCTGGCCATCACAAATGACAGCCTCAACTAAGTGGCGGCTTACCACCACCGTCGTCATCATCACGTGGACATTTATAGCGGCAGCCAAACTCTCTACAGGCGTGACGTCGATTCGAAATGTGGAGGGGGAAAACCGGAGGACCCGGAGACAAAGTCCACGCAGCGACCACGAAGAGAGAGACACGCAAACTCAGAATACGGAGCGGGCAACGTCAGGGTCGGGATCGGACTCCGAGCTGCTACGGTCCCCGCGTGGTCCCCCAGCGACTGCTCAGAGAGCATCGCAAACACAACCGAGACAAGTTCCAGGAAGCCGGAACAAACATCCAGAACATTTATCGCACGATGGCCATTAGCTCTCCGAGGGTCACGGCCAGAGGTCACGGCCAGAGGTCACGGCCAGAGGTCACGGCCAGAGGTCACGGCCAGAGGTCACGGCCAGAGGTCACGGCCAGAGGTCATGTTAGAGGTCACGGTCAGAGATCACAGCTAGAAGTCACGGGCAGAGATCATGGCTAGAGGTTATGACCAGAGATTGCGGCTATAGGCCATGGATAAGGGTCACGGCCAGAAGTTACTGCCAGAGGTCACGGCTAGAGGTCACGGTCCGGGGTGAGGGGTGTGTCCCTCACCTGCTCCTGTCGCTTGTTGAAGTCGCTTTGCATTTTCTTGTCGAGGAGTTTGGCTTCGTACTCGGGGCGAGGGTGGTCCTGCACGCACACGCGGACAGCACACGCGTGTGTCACACGTGTGTGTGTGGGGAAGGGGGGTAGGGGTCACAGACATGGAGTGGGGGGTGTGGGTGGACAAGGGAGAGAGAGGTGTGACGTGCTGGGGGTGAGAGCATGGGAGGGGA